AGCATCGATTCAGTGTGGCTTAACCTTACTGTTTTATTTCTTGATTTAACTTTTAATCTAAATATGATTATTCACTTTTAACTTAACGTACATGTCTCTTTGCCGTCATGTGGTCAATTGTCTGTAAAGCAAGTTGAGTTTTACTCTATTTGTCTGCGAATGGAACTCGATTGACGGTGTCTCTTCCAGAGAGGTGATGAGTTCTCCGGTCACCTGCTTGAACCGGATAGAGAAGGTGGGAACCATCGTGGACGTCCTCAGCAACACGTCGACCAATCACAACGGCTTCGCTGTCGTCACGCAGGGCGCCGGCGGTGATGAGGTAATGCGAGACGTCATCTTTTTTTTTTTTTTTTTTAACCTTTATTTAACCAGGTAAAAGTCGAGATCGAGGGCGACCAGGCCAAGAAGGCAGCAGCACACGTCGTTAAAAACAGCCATAAATTCCTAAGGACTATGGCAGTAATGTGTTGATTATCGTTGACGCCGCTCTGAGAAACTTTCTGCTCTTTCCTCCCGCTCAGCCGGCGAAGCTCTGCGGCCTCATCCTGCGCTCTCAGCTCATCGTTCTGCTCAAGCACAAGGTAACGTCAGCGGCGGGCAAACGAGGCTAGCGGAGGCCTCGCCGGTGACCTCGCCGGTGACCTCTCTCGTGGCGGTGATTCCACTCTCCCGCTCTTTGCCGCCAGGTGTTCGTGGAGCTGGCTCGGTCCCGGCTCACCCTGAGGAAGCTCCAGCTGAAGGACTTCAGGGACGCGTATCCCCGCTTCCCCCCGATCCAGAGCATCCACGTCTCCCAGGACGAGAGGGAGTGCATGATGGACCTCAACGAGTTCATGAACGCAACGCCCTACACAGTACCGCAGGTAGCCGCGCGCACGCAAGAGTTTTTTTTTTTGGGACATTTCACTTTTCTTTTTTTTTTTTTGGGATGTTCTTTTTCAAGGTTTTCTGAAACAGTAGTGTATGAATAAATTAATAAAATCTTTTTTTCTGCAGGACACTTCTCTGCCGCGCGTGTTTAAGCTGTTCAGAGCGCTGGGACTCAGACACCTGGTGGTGGTGGACGACGAGAACAGGGTAAGAGGTCCCTCTCTGTCTGTCCCTGGGACATTTAACATCTAATTGTTGCTTAATGGCATGACGACGATGATGGTGGTGGTTGTTATGATGATGATGATGATGATGATGATGATGCTGTTGCTGCTGTAAAGTCCCGTTTGCTCTGTGACTCTACAGGTGGTCGGACTGGTGACCAGGAAAGACTTGGCCAGATATCACCTGGGCAAACACGGACTGGAAGAGCTTCAGCTGGCTCAGACATAGTACGCACACACAGACCCATGAACATGAACTATGACCCCTGTGAAGCTGTTTTCTATCCAGATGTGCAGCCCCATGAAGGACACCGTTGAAGCTCTCTATTAATCTTTTCCAAATCGAGTTTAAAAATTGGACGCTGATTTAAAAGGAGAACCTCACGCCGATGGACATTGTGCGACTTTTTCGCATCGACTTTGTCTTTCTTTCTTAACACAGTGTTAAATGTTTTACTTTGAAAGGATCCGGAGTCCTGTTATCGTTATCACCGTTTGTTTGCCGGCTGAATCCTCAAACGACGGCACGGAGCTTTGGGACACTTTTTGCAAATGAAATGTGGTGGACAGAGAAGTCCGAGGAAACATTTGCCTTATTGGAGGATTCCTCCTCTGCGTATACACGTGCACAGGCTTCACTCTCATATCTGTATGTGTGGAGTCACGCTAAACACAACGACAAGGATCTTTTCAAAATAAAACATTCCCTTTGCCTGCCGCAGGATCGAGAGGAGGAGAATGTCTTGGTCTGTCCTTCTGTCCTTCTTCTGTCCTCCTCAGCGGCTCAGACAATGCTTTCTATTTGTTGCTGTTAAACTAACGAGGCAAGTAAAGAGAGCGAGTGTAAATGGTTTGCTGACCATTTGAGTTTTTATTTTCTGTTGTGTAGTTTTGCACTGAGCGAATACTGTTATTTATTGTAGGATATTTTAAGTCTGAACCAGACAGTTCTCACATCCCATAATTCAGAGTGGTTACGTTTTGAAGATGCAGATCCTCTGTTTCTGTCTGCTTTACTGAGCTGATGTATATTATTTGTACTATTGTCAGTGAAAAACATGGACTGATACTCCCAGATGATAAAATCATTTTTAGTTTTGCACTTTGACCTAAAACCTTTTTGACAAACACCCACAAGTGTCTCTGGTGAAGCTCATTCTGAATGTAAACCGTTTACCACAGACCTGCTTTTTAACCCATTTATCCCCGAGTAACTGTTCATATTAACACCCAAAACATTGATAATAATATAATAATTTAATTTTAGCTGTTTGTAAATCTTTCTCCTTTGTGCAATTCATTGATTTTGTCTCCGTTGTGGTTTTCGTTTTGTATAGTTCTGGATGCTAAAACATGGACTATGGTGTGTTTTATAACCGCCTTTTGTTAGTTAATAAAATTGAAATCTATCTCTTGTTAAATGCTGTGTTTGGTTTGTTGTGGGAGCGAGTTGTCTCATTTATCGCCATCGGATGTCACTTCTCTCAGTCTCCGAAAGCAACATCCTCCGTGGAGCCAAACGCAGTCACTGCAATCCCTCAAGTGAGCCGTTGCACATGTTGCATTGGTTTTAAGTGGCAGCTCATTGTGTGCATGTCGGAGTACAAACTACGTGTATATCTCATAATATCGCATAATCTCCAGATTTTGGTGCCTTTGCTTATCAGAGCCAGAGCCCGACTCTCTCGCTGTGCTTGTAGTTACGGAATCTGCATCATCGACCTCGCTGTCACTTTGCGAAAGGATGTAAGATCTCATCTGCCTTCGACAAGTCGAGTCCAACACGAGCGCACAATCCCTCTCACTCGTTCCTCCAGCTCCCGACAAACTCCATCACCTCCATGCAACACTCATCCCATCGTTCCTTGACACGACACCTTTTGTGTTTACTCGCTCAGCGTTGCCTAGCGACTACCTTTTACCTCGCCGTAATGTTATTCCTTCCCTCAGAGGATCAGCGGCGGGGGTCGTTCAGTCTGAGCGGAATCAGGCGGTCGTGGTTGAGCGGGCCTCCCAACGCGCGGCGGCGTTTTCTCCGCGCTGGGCAGAGATAAACGCACGCCGGAGCTTCACTCGTCGCCGTGTGAGAGACGGGAAGCGATTACCAGAGCTCGCCGCCCCGTTGAATAACTCGCCGAGTCATTGGAGATTACACTTTTAAATCCGTGGGCTATCAGCGCCTGAATTCAATTTGAGGCTTTTTACTGAATCCATATTACAGTGTGTATATATATATATATTATATATAAATAAATAAATATATATATATATTATTTATTTATATATATATATATATATATATATATATAAAAATATATATATTTGTACCGTTGCATATCGACAGAACTTTAAACAAATAATAATTTGCCCTAAAACTACAACTGCTCAAAATAGTTTAATAAATAAGAAATATATGTGGGTCCTTATAATATAGATACAGACTGGGATTTACAGAAAGTTCATTCTGCCCACCATTTATATTCAGGGTCCAACATTTTGACAAATATTACAAATGTGTGTTTTTCGCGCTGGATTTTGAGCTCGGTGTTCTGAAGAGAACTCTCAGCGTGTTTTATCGGTTGCGTCTGCGTGAGCGAACTCTCCTCGCCCTGAGACGCTCTTTACGACGCCGTCCTTGTTCGAGCGCTTCTTTGATAGATGCCACTCGCTCCGGAGGGGGTTTATATTTCCATAAAGCAACGTGAGCACAGTGGGCTCGCTGTGGACAGACGGCAGAGACACAGACAGGAGTGTCCCCGTCATCCAGAATTAAGGTTCTCTCTAGAACTATTTAGGGTTCTTCTTATAATGACACGAGCACCTTTTCAGAGACACCGAGAACCCAATAAAGGTTCCTTACCAGCTGATGGTTCTAGTTAAAAACCTCTGACTTCAACTCAGAGATTACCACATGTTTGCTGTCCAATGAGTAGTTTCTATCATTCAGACCATCAGAGATGTGGAAACTAATGAAACGCTCTCAATGTTATATTCTAATCTCCTCCTAAAATAATAAACCGATCCTGGACTTACGCTTCAATAATCATTATCATTCCTCTTTTTGTTTCCCAATGAGATGGAACAAAACGTAAAACATTTATAAGATCCGCCATGAACAGGTCTGATATGTATTATTAAACGAGAGACCTACATTGACCCACAGGTATGGTCCTCCTTTGTGTGACCTCACTGAGACCCCCCCCCCCCAAGTCTGTTTCCTGAGCTTCAACACTCATTTAAATGGGACGAAACAAATGCAACTTGTCTAGAATCTGCCTTCTGGTTCTGTGCTAATTGGGTGTAAATGTGTATTTATTGGTGGAGAATATCTTCATGCTCTGGCGTCTCACATGACAGCTGCCTCGGAATGACAGACCAACAAGGTGTGTGTGCGTGCGTGCGTGTGTGTGTGTGTATGTGTGTGTGTGTGTGTGCCCGTGCGAGAGGGAGTGTGTCTGATTGTCAAGTGGGAGAAGCAGCTCAAAATCAGAGAAAGACTAAACGATGGAGCAGAAAAAGACGAGTGGGAGCCCTGATGGGAGCACGCTGCTGACAGGGTGTGGTCACTGGAAGGAGAGGAAGATGAAGGGGAAGTGGAAGATGAAGGGTGGGGGGGGGGGGGCGTGACACAGACACCACATGAGGATTTGTATAAGTGAAAAAAGCGTGAAAGAATTGAGGCGGGAGGAGGTGAGGAAGAGTGAATGAGGGAGATAGAGAGATGGGAGGGAGGGAGGGAGGGAGGGGGGTGTAAAGGATGAGCTCATTGCAGTCTCTGGGAGGAGGGAGGAGGGGGAGCAAGAGGGGAGGGGTTCGTTGCCCGACTGCAAATCAATAGACAGCGCACACACACACACACACACGCACACGCACACGTGCTGCTGCAGACGGCTCTGCCGGCTAAACCAGCGTTATCTCCCAGCATCCTCTTTGCTACACAGCAGCACCACGGAGCGCTCTCGCCCTCTTTTAGACCTCTGGTTCACAAAAGAGAAGAAGAGGAAGTGTAGAAAGCCGGCTGCTTCCCCCCCCCCCCCGCCTCCATCTCCCTCTCTCTGTCTCTCACCCTCTCCATCCCTCCCTCCCTCTCTCTCTCTCTCTCTCTCTCTCTCGCTCACACACATCCCCATCACATCCACACCCAAGGATACCTTCCTCGCCTCCGTCTCTCTCTCTCACGCCTTTTTCTCTTACCCTCCCAAATACAGTTTTTTCTTTTTTTTTCTCGCTAAATTTCCTCTGGGGAGGAGATGCTCATCTGAATCCGTCAACCCCACCCGCCCCCACCCCTTTCTTCTTCCGCCAGAAATCCAGACTTGGATGGTCTCCTCCTGCTGCTCTGCCACTTTGTTGCTACCTGTGGAGGTGTCCTCCCCAGTGTTCCTGGTTTTTCAGCCCCGCAGAGAGGCACCATGCTGGGATTGGACGTGTGTGAGTTTGGGGGTCAGGTGCTGGAGCTGCTGTGGCTAACTATGTGCTACAGAGGTAAGGTGTGTGCGTGTGTGTGCGTGTGTGTGTGTGTGCTCCGGTCCCTTAGAATAACATATAGAAGTTTTTACCTGGTGCTTGAATTATCCGTTTGTATTGTATCTGTAATGTAGAAATGAGATTACAATCGTGCAGATGTTTTAAGAGATGTTATTCTGTGTATGTGCTTTCTGTGTGTGTGTGTGTGTGTGTGTGTGTGTGTGTGTGTGTGTGTGTGTGTGTCTGCTATACGTTTCTATGGAGGCGGGTGTGGACATTTTTATGTCCAGCGTGACGCGCTGCCAAGAAAAGCCAAAGGTGGCAGATCAATAGGTATCGATCACATGCAACACTATCTGTGTGTGCGTGTGTGTGTGTGTGTGCATGTGTGCATGGGTTCGGCCGGCAAACGGGTGTGTTCAAGAGAAATGTTGGCAGAGGGAGCAGTTGTGAGTGTGTGTGTGTGTGTGTGTGTGTGTGTGTGTGAGAGTGTGCTGATGCTTTTATCAAAATGTCTTTTTTTTATGTATCTATGAAAACAGTTTACAGCGTGTGTGTGTGTGTGTGTGTGTGTGTGTGTGTGTTGATTACACTGCAGTAGGGTTGTGTGGTTCTGGGGTTTCCCCTCACACAGTGATGTGTGTGTGTGTGTGTGTGTGTTCTGTGAGATGAGGGGGAAAAGGACAAAGAAGGATGCAAACAGAAAGTGAGTGAAGGAATCCGAGATCATCTTCAGGAGGAAGACGTGAAGTGAGATTTAAGATCTGAGTCGTCTGCTCCATCAAGTCCTTGAATTTCAAAGAGCTCTTATCGATCGCTCTGCTCCAGTCGGCGTCCAACCGGAGATCTCGTTGGATTCCTGTGAACTTTCTGTGACTGCGACACATCGAATCCCGTCAAAAACACTCGCTGGCTCAGATTGAGTTTTGAAAAACGAGGAGGAGGAGAATGTGATGGGGGAGCGTGGGAGGTGACTGAGTGGAAGATAAACGGCAAGTAGGGACAAAAGCGACTGAGAGGAGGGCGAGAGACATCGAGATAAAGAGTTTTTTTTGGAGGAGGAAAAGCAGGAGAGAGAGAGAGAGAGAGGCGGAGAGGCGGAGAGAGCTGTCAATCACAACAGCCGGTGTTCTAACGGGCTAATTGAAATCCGTCTCTCTCCTTTTCCCTCTTCTTTATCTCGCTAATCCTCCCTCGCTCTTTTTTTAAAACTCTCTTCGTCTTCCTTTGTCCTCCTTCCATCCCTTCCTATTCTCTTTTTTTTTCCTTCCTTCCTCTAACCTCATCTCCTCGCTCCCTAATCCTCCTCCTGCCTCCTTCTTTCCACGCATCATGTGGTTCCCACACACCTTCAGCTTGTCAGACGTGTTTAAGGGACTCTTATCTACTCCTCACGTCATCCTTTCCGCTCAGTGCCAGCGGTGATAAATGAGGTTTTTCGGGTGAGCTGACGCATACGAGACCAATCAAGTCGGTCAATTAGACAACCTGCTGTCTCTGCGGAGCAGCTGAGGACACACTACTCTGTGTGTGTGTGTGTGTGTGTGTGGCTATTAAAGGGCGGATGATTCGTTTAGTTTCCCGTCTACATGCTGAAGTCTTGACGTCATGTTTTATTCTGCAACTCACTGCGACCTTTGACTTGATAATATCTTGACATATTCTTTATGTCAAGATATTATCCAGATTTAAACCGGAACGATGGTGTAGAAGAAGAAGAGCCCGCCTGAGAGGCCTGTCAATCACAATGTAGCCCCGCCCCAAAGCGCACTCCACCTTTATGTTGTGAAATTGATCGATTAGGAACATAAACTCATGTCATGAGGGAATAAATCTAGTCATTTTCTTTCTAGATTTCTATAGTCTGACTTCTCCACATGCAGCGCCCCCTGCTGGTCAGTATACCCAGCAGGGGGCGGTTCTTGTCTCATTTGCGGCCCGTTAAATAAAGCCGATTGATCAAACCGTGCTGTAGCCGTCGGGCTTTTGGACACACCTCAGTGGGCGTGGCCTCGTCTCTTCATCTTATCACGCCTCAAAAGCTCGACCGACGCCGGCACCTCAACGGGCACGGCGGGCGGGAGGCGAACGTGACGAAGTGCTACGAGGCGGACATATTGATTCCCGCCGCGCCGTGGCGGGAAAGGCGCGGCCGCGCTGTCAGCGGAGACGGAGGCCGACGGCGCTCGCGGCCTCCTGTAACGCCGTCGCGCCGATCGATCTTCCTTCATTGTAAAAGCCGCTATCAGCTTTGCAGAGACCTGAGAGGTTCCTGTTTATCTTCTGCCGTGTGTGTGTGTGTGTGTGTTGTTTATTACTTTTTGTATATCTGTGTTTCGGGGTCTCGGGGGTCTCGTCATAGTATTTGAGCAGAGCAGTGACAGCGGGCCTCGTAGGACTGTAAGAAAACAGCAACGCTTAGGGCACACACACACACACACACACACACACAGTGCTTTACTGACGTTTACTTACGTTATCTGGGTTAAGGAAGGAGGAAGCAGCGCTGTAATTAAAATAAAGTCATTCTTGTGCGTTTGTTGATCCAGATTACGTGTTGAATCACGTAGTTCCGTCGCCTGTATGAAGACCAGAAATGAACACACTTAAAAAAAATCCATGTGACGAGAAGATCGATACCAATATCTCTTTGTTAAATATGACGCTACCGCCAGCAGCCTGTTAGCTTAGCTTAGCATCGAGGCTGACTGGAATACAGCTACAGGCCACTTAGACACACTGGGGATTTGGGAAAGTGTCATGTCAACAATGAACCAACAGAAGAACATGATTGCGTGTGTGTGTGTGTGTGTGTGTGTGTGTGTGTGTGTGTGTGTGCTTTCTAATCCTTCTCCCCCCTGAAGCAGCTCCTTCCTGCCAAGACAGATTGCTGTGTTGGTTTTGCACTAAACATGTTGGTTTAGCTGTAAATATCAGCAGATGAGCACTGATTCTGTGTCTTATGGTTGAAGCCGCTGGCCGTGGATCCTCTCAGTGTGAAATATAATAATAATGAAGTAAAAAGAAACACGCATCCAGTTATCTGTTGATGATCCAGTTATCAGGTTGTGGCCCAGAGAGATAATGGATGGCTTCCTCGTGACATCGCTCTTCAGATGCCGTGTCACAGAATCTTTATTAAGTCCTCGTCTTGCTTTATTTGAATCTGTTCCGTAAGAACTCGAGTGCTGATTTACACCTAGTGGCCCGTTTCCGACAGCAGGCTGTGCGTTAGGATGCAGAGGAGGGTCTCAGGAGCTGCCGGGGTAATGAGGCAGTTTTATGGCTATCATAGAAAATCCACCGGTTGACATCACATCACAGACGGATTCCTGAAGCAGAAGGAAGGCCACACACGCGCACACACACACACACACACACACACACACACGCACAGCAGGCTGCTGGCGTTGTCATCGAGTGCCCCGATCCCGACCCCAAATACCCGGGAGGTCAATGCCGAACCCTGACCCACCGTCTCCGCCCTGAGAGGAGCAGTGGGGTCTGTGATTACTCCTCTCGTCTCCCCCTCCTGTTCTTCTCCAGCTCCTCCGATGAAGCCGATAAAAAGACTATAAATATATATATATATATATATATATATATATATACGTGCAGAGTGTGTACATTTCTCCCACCGCACACTACGTATTTTAGAGCAAGCGCTGCCTTTCAGAATAATGGTCAGTTGAGGGTTTGTGTGGCAGGTGAGCAGGCTGCAGATCAAAGAGGAGCTGTCTGATGTGGGAGAAGAAGCAGCGGCTCGGAGACACATTTTACTGCAGAGTTTGATATGTAAATACAGCCGGCCGAATCATTAATGGAGTCGTATACCGTCCAGACCTGACACAGTTCAACATGTGTGCGTATGTGTGGATCCTTGAATGACTCCTCGTGTTTTCAGCACCCGAACTGAACGGGATCAAACACCGTTAAATGTGTTTAAGTTTAATAATACAAATAATGCACATTTGGTAAATTTATGCGATTTCAGGTATACGTATTTGATATCGGAATCAAGAATTTTAAAGAAGACTTTTGGTCAGTTCACCGCACTCTGTAAAATGTAAACGTTAAACAAAACTACTATACTATTTATTGTGGGATTGTGTCAAATACAAAATAAATAATCCCGTTAAATATTGATTGGCGGAGATGCAGTTTGTATTAAAACAAGTGAATATTAATCCTCCCCCTCAGACGCCCGGTCGTATCAAACACATCCACAGCGAAGGTGATGTCACTGCGAGGGGAGTTAAAATCGTTGCCATGGCGACGGGCTGAAGGCAGCCGGGTTTGTCCCTGACTGGGTGCTGCTACAAACACGCAGTGTGTGTGTGTGTGTGTGTGTGTGTGTGTGTGTGTGTGTGTGTGTGTGTGTGTGTGTGTGTGTGTGTGTGTGTGTGTGCGTGCGTGAGTGTGACACTTATTATCGGGTCATTGCGTTGCCGTTGAACGTGTTTGATTCCACTAATGTTTACAGGATTGGCGGGTGGTGCGTGTGTGTGTGTGTGTGTGTGTGTGTGTCTACACCCAATTACCTCTGCACACAGCTGTGAGCCGATGCACTGATCCGTCTCATTATGATCAGTGTAACCAGGCGACTCCACGAGGCTGTTGCAGCAGTAAAAACACGTCCAGAGAATCGGAGTCTAGAGGTTCTTTTGTGCCTTTTCTGTTGGACACCGTGTCAAGTTTTATAGATGATTTATGTGTGTGACTGAGGCCGTTAAATAGGTCATTTATCTGGTTTAGTCTCCATTGCCGTCTCACCTCCGCCCTTCTCTTTTGGGACCACGGCGTTTTTAAGCATAAAGAAACTAGAAAAAGCAAATTGCCGAGCTTGCATGGTAGTTGTGTGACTGTTGTGTGAGTTGAGGAGGACATCTCCCTCAATAAGAGCCTGCCGTTGTCTTTCTTTATCAACGCCCTTTGGGGTGATGCAGGTACTACGAATCTTCGCTATTCAGTGAAAATAAGAATTGTGGAACATGTTTTCCGCGAGCCGTCCAGATGAACGGCTGTGGTTTTTGGTGGCTGCTGTGAACAGCGGTTTTATGGCGTCTAATCTCTAGTGGCGAGTATTCCCTCTCTGGAGGTGCGGATGAGATGGAGATGCCCAAATGAAATTTCAGCTCGCAGAACACATTATCGTACGTCTGTAAAATTCTTTATTAAATCAGAAGCCCCTGATGAAACCCGACCCCGGATGGCTGGAGCCGGCCTGCAGCGAGATGCATCTTATCAAAGGCAGTAAAGCAATCTCGCCTGTCGGTTGGGTTTTCAGGCACTGAAAAAGAACAGAAATATTGCCTCAAATGAGCTCCGCTGCTCCTGTTATTTAACTCTGTTCTTCTTTGCACTTTCTGCAGGATTATCAGAGAAGTCGGCCTTTGTTTTTCTTTGTCTTTGGGATTTTAATACATGTGCAGACACTCATCGGCCTCTCGTAATATTCTCTGGAATACAGACAGGGAAATAACAGACTTTGAACATTTCAGTTGGAGCAAAACTACGCGATTAATTTAACATCTTAATCCTGTCACTTAACCTGTAACAGCTTCCTCCGTTTAGTCTTCAGTGATATGTTGAGAGGCATTGTTCGGTTTTTGTGGTGTGGATTTAATTTTCTGATCGGAGGATAAAGTTTGGTCGTCAAACCTTGTTGGAGACGCTTGTTATTGAGCCCAAATAGTAAAAAGAATCACCATTAACAAACAGAAATAATTTGCTAAAAATAATCCTCTTGATATATGTTTGAGACAGGCCTCTCAGGCGGACTCTTCTTCTTCTACACCATCATTCCGGTTTAAATCTGGATAATATCTTGACATAAAGAATATGTCAAGATATTATCAAGTCAAAGGTCGCAGTGAGTTACAGAATAAAAATCCCCCAAACATGACGTCAAGTAAATACAGTTAAAAGGCAACAGAAGCCTAAAGGCTTAGTTAATTAGCTTAATTCATCTGAAAAACTGTAGATGGTATGAAAACAATGGCACTTGTGTCATACATTGTGTTGGTTGTTGAAGCAGTTGAGGAGCCAGTGGGGGCGTCTGCATCACCGCTCCTCTCTCTCCTCTCTGGAAGGTCTCCTGGCTGACAAGAAGGACCAGCGCATTGAGGACGAAGAGGATGAGAGACACCTGAACTACGTCGCTCCGCTCCAGAAGAGCCTGGAGGAGATTCGGCAACTGGACAAAGACGACCAGAGTCTGGTCAAGTACAAGCGAGCGCTGCTGGGGACGGAAACAATGCCAGCAGGTGTGTGTGTGTGTGTGTGTGTGTGTGTGTGTGTGTGTCTCTATTGTTTACCGGAGGTGATGGTGATTCACAGCACTTAATGACGCTGCAGCCAATACCTCGGTTTAACGACTTGGTGCAGAGTTGCTCGCAGTCATCAACTTTCTGAGGAGAACCGGCTGATAATGAGGAGGAGGAAACCGTGTGCGCGTGGAACGTTTTGAGCTTTTAGGGTGAAGCACACGATGCACCACCAGGCGATTACTTTCTTCTCCATCGAAGATCTTCTCATACATTTTTCAACAAGGGGAATAAAAGTACGCAACTTCCCCTTTTAACATACGCAAGCGAGCGGCGGTGTGATGAAAGTGCGTCTCTCCCCAGCGGACCCGGTTGTGGCCCGCGTGCAGGTGACCAGACTGACCCTCCTGTGTGAAGAGGCCCCCGAGCCGATCTCCAGGAACTTAAAAGGTACGCAACCTTCCCCTTGCCCCCCTTCTTTTCGTTCGGCCCCCCCCCCCCGATGCTTCCGCCGTGCCCCGAAGCAAGGCACCCCCCCTCATGTGCAGAAACACTGCAGTGGGTGTGTCTGTGCTCCCGAGATGAGAGACAGTGTTTGCTCAGTGCGCCGTATTGACGTCTTCCCCCGGGTGCAACGAAAGCCACGTTCATAGTATCTTTGTGTGTGTGTGTGTGTGTGTGTGTGTGTGTGTGTGTACGAGGCTTCACCTATCATTGACTTGTGTGTCAGGGCGTGTCAATAGCACAACGGTTGCTGTGACTGTGCTTCAGTGTGTGTGTGTGTGTGTGTGTGCTTTGCTAAATTCTTTCCCTTGTCTGAGGCTTCCCTCTCCCACGTACACAATAACACACACAAAGACACAATCGCAGACGGCCAATGGGAAAGGTCACCTGGTTGCTAGGCAATAGGACTTCATGCCGGGGCAGTTCCCTGTGATTCGAACAGGGCCGCAGCAGCGTGTGGCGTGCACGTTCCACGGGAGATCTGCACCGAACGGAGAGAGAGAGAGAGACGCGTTCACATCCCATCGCACTCACAGATGATGGACGGCGTGGAAGGGCGGTGGGGCGGGGGGGATCCATGGAGGGGCCTCGCCTCGGACTTGGCCAATATCATTTTTTAGACGAGAAGTTCAGCCGACTCAACACCAGGAGCCCTGATCAGAGAAGCAGTGATGTCATCAGCTTGATGCTGGCTGCGTTCATATTTGCAGAATGAACAAATAAATACTTTCCAAAACCTTCTTGTTCCATTAAGTAAATTAAAGTACTAAACGGCTGATCTGTCAGTAGATGCAGGAAATCCTCTTTGACAGTTGTAGGCTTTTCAAGAAGGATGATTGTGTCTAAAGAGCACGATGCTACTAGGAGGAAAAACATTTATCAGGTTTAATTTGGATATATGTTTGTGCTCTGGAGCTTAAAAAAAAAGCAGGAATTGATGAATGCTGTTCGCGTGAGAGAGAAGCACATTTCATCTCTCATCCGTTGAGTAAGAATCGTAATAATAAACCCTGCTGGTGTGTCGAGTTGCAACGTGACGCATTTAAATAAACTTTCCATCGGTGGCTGAATGCATTAGAGGCCTCATTATACGCTGAGGGCGGATTCCAATGCAGCACGGGGCCCCAAATGATGACCAGCGTTTACTGCGTGTCTGTGTGTGTGTGTGTGTTTGTGTGTGTGTGTGTGTGTGTGTGTGTGTGTGTGTGTGTGTGTGTGTGTGTGTGTGTGTGAGAGAGAAGGAGGGGTGGTAAATGAAGGGGGGGTGGGGGGGACACACAGGACAGGTGATTGCTCCACACTCAGAAGAGGAAAAGAGAGACTCGCTCTCACTGGTCGTCCCATCAGAGACCTTTAAGTTCCACTGAAGCTTGTGCGGCTTGTTTTACTTAATTGCTGTATGTTCCAGTAAAGCAGTAATCCATGACCTCAGGTAGCTAATTGCGTGGTTTTCAGTGTACTTCTGGTTAAATATGACTTATTATTTCTCCTTTTCTCCATCATGCTGAGACTCTTCCCGCAGTCACCACTTTCTCTCTTTTATATAATATATAATGTCTTTCTTTTTATCACCACTGCCAGCAGAGTATTACTTTCCTTTTAGAAATTGTCATTTCAGTCGTTGCTTGAGCTCAGATCAATCGCCCGAACACCGAAGCATTTGAATCTGAAAGCGTTTATAGTTTCTCAGGCAGCACAAAAACAACTTGTAATGCGTCTCCGTGGAAAAGGCAATACGACCGCCAGATATTGAGGATTTATTGAACGGGGGGGGGGGGGGGGCACCATGCAATAACACAGTCACATTACTGTGACCTAGTTCGGCTTGAATAAACATTAAATATAAATGTACATACATACACCATGGAACAAAAAGAAATGTAACATTTTACTCAAAAACCTTCTGGAAATCCGTATTTCTGTGTGAGCTCATTTCAACACAGTCGTGCTACTTGGGACGCGTTGTGATTTTTTACATTTTAAGTGATAAAGTTTGTGATTAGGAGACTAAAGAAGCCCACACATCCGGTAAAACGGTCCCGGCCGATCAATTATTACATATTTTAACATTACGGACAAGCGTTACAGCTGTTTAACGGCGCAGTCGCTCTCCTTTGTCGATATGAGCGCGTTAGCATTTAGCTCGGCCTCCTCTAAGTGGATCATGTTTCTGAATTCAGGTCCAAAGTATTTTTGAAAATAAACAAATCAAACAGTTGCAATTTGTTTTTGCATGTTAAATAGTAAACTAGCAGGTTTTCTACTATTTTGCATCTCTGCAAAATGTTGCATGTGTGAGATTCAGCGCAGCGTTGAGTGTGGATCTGCATTCCTGGATACTGTGTGTGTGTGTGTGTGTGTGTGTGTGTGTGTGTGTGTGTGTGTGTGTGCGTGGAGATCAGGTACACAGTTGACCTATTTTCTCAGTCAGATGCTCCCGGGGGGGGGCAGCATCTTATCTCTTTCTTCTGTCTCCTGAGACGAGAGGGGGAGGCGAGTCGGGAGGGTGGGGGTCGGGTGGGGAGGTGGACATTTACATTCCACAGTTCATGGAGGAAGGGAGACTGACACCAATGAGATGTGATGAATCTCCCTCACGTCAGCCGGCGAGGCCACGTTTCTGCTTTTTGTTTAATGGGGAGTTTCCAGCATTTCTTGTGGTGGTCTAAAGATTTCCTCCTCGTGAGTCCTGTTCTTACTTGAACCGAGAACCCACACGTCCTCCTGTGGTTTGGTTGGAATCCAAACGTCTCTTCCTTTTCTTTCCGGCCTGGTTTTCATTCGGCCCCTCTCCCCTCCGTCTCCTCTCCTCCTTCCCTCGTTTCTCTCCCTCCATTAGGAGGCACTCGGGACTTGATGGCCGGCTTTGAATTGAGATGTAAAGTGATTATGGTGTCGATCCGGTTCTGCTCCTGGCCCAGGACACGTTCCTCCCTTCAGCACGAAGCCGTTCGACCCGTCAGAAAGACAAAGACTTCATTGAGCAAAGAAGCCACTATGTTTTTTTTAATAAATGAAGAACGCGTCACACTTTCACGGCTTTAATTCTTCTCATTTAGCTCCCACCATGAGAGTGAAATGCTCCAAAGCCCCCTGAACTAAATGCATGTTTTAATGATTAGATTGACTGAGACACAAAGGCTAAAGATGACCAATTTCTAATCCACTTGTGCTTTGAACATGTGCGAGTCAGCAGCCGTGTGGAATGAGTCACGCTAACCATGACCGGTTGTTTTGTACAGAGGACCTGAGCGCGCTGAAGGAGAAGACCCTCTCCCTGAAGGAAGGAGTGACGTACAGGCTGAAGATCCACTTCAAGGTGAGAGCGATCCATGCAGAGAGGACGGAGGGGTTCGCTCTGCATCCGTGGGTTCACTACCCGTTTTACCCTCAGTGCGCCTCCACTCGTCATCAAAGAAAAGCAATATGTTATTGTGATAAGCCGCCATGTTGCCAACGAACCACGCGCCCAATCTGGACCGTTATCACACCGATGAGGCGTTCTGGTGCCGCTTCATTGGTACTGCCGGTTAAAGGGTTAATACTTGAGAGGCAACGTTACTTTCTCAAGTTTCATTGGTAAAATAATTGGACATAATATATAATAGGACACCTGCTGGACGGAGGCCTTCTTTTAATGCAGCTTCAATATCTTGTGTTTATATATATATGGAGATCCGATGGAGCTCTTCTGTGTGTGTGTGTGTGTGTGTGTGTGTGTGTGTATGTGTGTGTGTGTTTGCAGGTGAACAGAGAGATTGTTGCTGGCTTGCGGTACCATCATGTGACCTCCAGAAAAGGAATAACAGGTAAATGAGACGGAGGATGAACGTTTATGAGCAGCTCTCCAGTGACATGTTGTTTTCTTCTAAAACGACCACTTTTAGCAGTTTTAAACACTACTTTTATTTGTGTTAAATCGAGTAGAGATGTCCATGTTAAATAACAGCAATGGAATGCATTTCTTCTAAAAACATAAATAAATAATAGACAGTAAAAGATAACAGGAAGGGGACGCTGGTACACATCAGTGCAGATGATAACGGTTCGTGCAGAGTAATCGGAAACAAAATCAATGCTCCATCTGCAATGCAAAAAGAGCCTCGTGACATCCCTCAAATGCTCAATTCTGAATTATTCATGTAGATGCGTATGGATACATATGGTCGTCCACCTTCATTAGAGCATTAAAGAGCTCAGCCTCCATCAGAGATCAGAGCGCCCCCCCCTCTTTCCAATTACAAACCACCACTGACTCGACATTTATTGGACTCCCTCGCGGAACCACAAACAACCAACCAACTCCCCTCCGTGTCCATTTCCCCTCCGCCGTCTTCCCGCAGTGGACAAGGTGTCCCACATGGTGGGCAGCTACTGCCCGAAGGAGGAGGAGCACGAGTTCCTCTGCCCGGCGGACCAGGTGCCCGGCGGAGTGATGTCACGCGGCCGCTACACGGTCAAGTCCCGCCTCACCGACGACGACAAGAACACCTTCCTGGACTGGGAGTGGAACTTCGAGCTCAACAAGGACTGGAGTGAATAGAGGGAAGGAGAGATGATGCGGAAGCTCTTCTGTCCCCCCCCCCCGCCTCCACGTCTTGACCTCCTCCTCTTCTCCCTCAGTCGCCGCTCCGGCCGTTTTCTTCATTGTGTGTTCGGTGCAGGTTTAGTGACCTTTAGAGAAAAAGAATCGCCCCCCCCCCCCCCCCCCCCTGCCTCCCTTAAGCAGCACAGCGAAGGAAGTCAGTGCATACAGGCCCATTACAAACAGATGACACATGTAAATACTGTGCTCAACAGCACCCGTTCCAACACCAAACCATTAATGGCTAAATGGATGGTGACTTGAGGCAAAGATGAGGTGGGACCTGCAGCTCACGGAGGCCTTTAAACCTCGAGGGGACAAACATGATCCACCGGGCAGCACGCCGACGCCTCCGGCGAACACGTTTTAAAGCATTTATTCATGCAAGTAAAAACACGTTCCTCCACTTTTTTACAACGGTGTGATTACGCTCAGCGGTGTGTGCTTGGCGTCGGCGTTTACCTTTGTGTACTTGCTGGGATCATGTTTGCGCCTTCGATTGCTCCCGATTGCCACATTTTGCGTCATGATGCATGCACAGCCCATCGCTCCCAGAGGTAATTCATTTACTTTTACATGTAGTGTGCGTTATTGGAGCCTGGGGAGATTGTCGTATGACGTCCTCCAGACACACGCCGGCTCAGAAGACATAGGGAAAAAACATCACAATTCTTCCAAAGCTGTATGGGCTTTTATTACTGTAGTTCTGAAACTAGAGACCCGTCTATCTCCAAAATGGGTGTCAAATTTAAGAGCGGCAAAGTCCGGTTGTCTTTTGTTTTGTCAGACTTTGAAACAATAACTGGAAAAGAAAAGAAGATTACTTTCGAGATCCGTCTTTTTTATTGCTTTCTGTTGGTGTCGGTTAACTTTTTTCTAAGTTAATGTATATATTTTATCTTATGTCTTAGAGTATCGATTGATTCATCTGTGGTTCGATTCCAAGGTTTTATGATTTAAAGTGTAGAATCACATACGGAAAAAATATTGTTTTAATAACATTCTTGAACAAATCCTCAAATCTACAGGAAGTAAAGGAATATCACGGTTTTATCAAACAAATGTTGTCTTTTCTATCTTTAATGAACTGGGATGAAGTGTACGACCTATTTTAACTTTGCTGTGTGCTTTGGAAGCAGCAGTTTTCTCTCAAGTCTTTGTGGCGCGTTTTGAAAAAACAATTAAAGACTAACTGAACTGTGGATATTGTAGAAAGAGATGCGTGCATGTCCATTGATAGTTTGATACGATTCATTTATTCAAAATGAATAAAAAGTGTGCCCCTTCTGAACTTCTCTCATGTACTGTTAACACAAGACGTGAATACAATTCTGCTTTGAGCGTTAATTAAACATTTTAGGATTGAAGCTGAAAGAATACCAAGAAGTACATCAAGGGATGAATAAATTCCCTTCAAAAGATAAGAAGTATCATCATTGTGTTAAGTCTCTGGATATGATATTGTCATTGTTGCTGAAAATATTGAACTTTGAACTCGAAATGTTTGTGATCTAAGACTAACTGTAAATGTTGGCGTGTTGGTTGTTGCATGGTTTAGCAAGATTCTCTTCCTTTTTTTTACGACTTTATTGTAAAATTGAATGTGATTAAAAGAAGATTTAAAGAAGATACCGGTTGCCACATACTGCAGATACGGTATTTACAGGGACATTTTTAAAGGCACAAATAGCTGGAAACATTTGTCTGTGTTTATCGCCCAGCCTGTAACGATCAAGTGCTGCAGCGTCAAATATTGGTATCACATCTAGTATCCTGTATCTTTTAATAAAGGCAATTCAATTAACCAGTGAGAGGTCTCTTTTGAGGTGTTTCTCCTGCATGCACACAAAGCAATAGCAAGAGCATCACTGTCAGATGACAAAATAGATGGCTCTCCGTCAATGGCCCAGTCACATCAGCAGCCATTCGGATGACGTAATAAACTAGAAGATTCCTCAAAAATGTTGACAGGCCGGTCATCACCCGAGGATGTCTATGTATATATATAAGTATATGAGTACTATACTTATAGTATACATCACAAACCAATGTGATTTCTGGCCCTTTCAAACACTGATCAACCCACCATCTCAAAAAAGTAAATCCAGTTGTGAGCAGATTCTGATCTAATCTAAATAATTTAAAAATGCATGTTGTGAGGATCTGCAGCCACAGACACGCACACACTATCAATGAAATTGGGCAAGCCGATATTTATCCATTTGCATATCGGGAGTCGTGTGCTAATATTCAATAATCCCCGTTCTAGACAAATGTGCATGATGCTACACAGAACCTGCTCAGTAGGTGGCGCTGTTCACACTGGTGTTTGTTATCATTCATAATAAACAAACGAAGAAGAAGAAGAAGAAGAAGTGTGGGCTGGTTACTGAAGGTGAGTTGACAGTCGCAGAATGATGACGCTCGCTGACAGATGCTCGTCGCACGCTGGTTCAAAGCAAACCAGCGTCTCAGAGCCGACACGAGCTAACCGCTGTTAGCAGCTTCTAAACCCAAAAAGATGAGCGGCTTCTACCAGTCAGCATCCCGTTACTCGGTTTGAAACGTGTTGTTGTGTTGCATTTACACTGTGTGTGTGTGTGTGTGTGTGTGTTAAGTTTGTTTCCTGAGTGGTCGCTACCGTTGTATTCAGAATCCACCTTCTAGTTAACGTTAATTAAACTGGTAACACATTTGTTCAAGTTCCATAGCTTACATATAACGTTATTTCATAATGTGACTGATCTATTATTGCATGACTAGAACTTACCTTGAACACCAAAGCATCAGTAATAGTAATGCAACCATGTGTTAGTATGAAAGCGCATACATTCCATGATACATGCATTTTGCAGAAAATACTTTCAATAGCTTTTAACAGTTTTAAAACGATATTCCTACTGGAGACAAAGGTTCTTTGCAATGAAATACAGTATAAAAATCAAGACAACAACTTTGTCCCGCAGGGCCGGATGTATTGTGCGAGTTAAACGCCGCACACGATGACCACAGCGACCGCCAGCCTGGAGAGCCTGCGCGTGCTGCACCACAGCGATGACTACATCGTGGTGGACAAGCACTGGGACATCCGCATCGACAGCAAGATGTGGTACGAGAAGCACACCGTGCAGGCGCAGCTCCTGCACCGTTTCCCTCAGCTGGCGGACCCCAGCACCTACTACGGATTCAGGTGTGAATCCCACGAGCGCCTCATTACATTACATTACATGTCATTTAGCAGACGCTTTTATCCGAAGCGACTTACAATGAGCGCCTCGGGTCACACGCATCGCGCAGATGAAGATCTATGGTCTCATTGTGTTTGTTTCCCGCTTCCTAAAAGGTTCTGTCATCAGTTGGACTTCTCCACCAGCGGGGCTCTGTGCGTCGCCCTCAACAAGGCCGCCGCCGGCCGAGCTTACCGCTGCTTCAAGGACCGCTCCGTCACCAAAGCCTACCTCGCCCTGGTATGAAACACGGCCCAGTCGTGAACTCAACAGAGCCTGCACGTGACGAGGGAATTAAAAGTAAACATGCAGGTGATTCCCAGGTTCGTGGACGGGTGGAGGAAGAGACGCAAACCTTGGACTTCCCCATCGGCAAGAACTCATCAGAGGGGAAGACGCACATGATGTGTACTGAGGGAACAGAAGGTGTGTGTGTGTTTTTTTTAACATATTATACTTTTTTTTTTTTTTATTCTTGACTGGAAACCCCACACAGTTCACAAAAAGTCAAAACATTGACAGAGGTAAAAACTAATATTCACCCGTGGAGTTTATTAGTGATGGAAATGAATAGTTGAATGATGATTAATGCTTTGGACGATTTAACTATAGACTTTATTTCCTCGCTGATCTCGCTAGGTTGTGAGAACCCGAAGCCTTGCCAGACGGAGCTGACGGTGTTGGAGTACGGATTGTACGATGGAGACTCTGTCACCAAGGTGCTCCTGCAGCCAGTCACCGGTAACGTTCCTCATCTGCTTCGTGCGATGTGTTTGCCAATATTATTTGTGGGCATAAAGATGAAGACAACGGCATATGTTCATATTTGATATTAAGATGAAAGATAAAGAAGGGAGTGAGATCACTCGCAATGCTGCAAATTAATTACAAAATCTTATCCTCCCGTTCAGGCCGAACACACCAGTTAAGGGTTCACTGCAGCGCAATCGGCCACCCCATCGTGGGGGACTTCACCTACAGCTCTGGAGCGGATGCCGCCCCGTACCGCATGATGCTGCACGCACACCTCCTGCACATTCCGCTGGACCCTGAGCCCCTGCAGGTCTGCGCTGGAGACCCCTTTCTCCCGGCGACGGATCCCAAGTGGCTTCCGCAGCGCTCATTACGGACTCTGGCGGCCACCGTGGAGGCGCTGCTGGAGCGCAGGGTGGAGGAGGGCAGGAAGATCAAAGAGGAGAGGAGAGAGCGGGCGAGACGGGAGGAGGAGCGGAGGACGAGACGGCGGGAACAGAGGATTGAGGAGGAGAGCGAGGAGCAGAGGGCACAGTGTCAGGAGTGGCTGAGGGAATGGGCCGGGGATTGATTTATTGTTGTGTGTTTTAATTAATTTGATCTGTTTACTAATGATGGTCACGTTGAGCGTGCATGCTCCATGTCACTGACCGCCCCCGTGGCATTGAAGTGGCATACACAGAAGTAAACCTAGAACCTTAATAACCTGGCAAAGTTCATTTTAGAAGAGACGTGTGAGCATGTAAGCTGCTGCTTTCTGATACAATTGAACAACTGAGCTGTGTTGTCACATTCAATACATGGCTGTAACATGCATACAAACATTTTAACCTACTATATGTATGTTTTTTTGTCATTTTATTATTATTTTACTGCTTTCATTAATACTGTTTCCAACATAAATAAATCTCTATAGAATGAAATGTTAAATATGACAAACGAAAGAATGATTTGTATTTACCAAAACAACCCTAAATCCCTCCTTATGTGGATCCCGCACATATTCTCTTAGAGGCAAAACGGGTAGAATGACTCCATTACCCATGATGCCCCTGTGTTAAGTAGCTAAACGTCAACGAGTCAGCCGCAAGGAAGCGACACATTGAAAACAGCGACTCTTCAACTGCTGTTTTGTTTTAGTAACACGAGTTTTACTAAGTCGACGCCGGGTTCATTGGAGGTTGGAGGCATACAATAATTATCTTCCTTAAAAATGAGCTTCGCGGTCTTCTCGTATGAGGGGTTGGTTCACGCCGTATCAGGAGCGATGGTAAGTTAGCTTCAAGTTCACTGTTGATCTAACGCTATGTGATCGATGGTGGCAGTAGCTATGGCTGATTAGCTCGTACATTCATTCTTCAACATTCGTTCAACGTCCCGGTGTTTTAGAGCCGATAAACCGGTAAACCTGGGAAGATTTCAAATGTTTACACCACCGTTTTAAGTCGTTCATTTGTTGTATTTGGCATTAACGGTGTAATCGTGTGGGAACTGACTTCAAAATAAGAGCCATGTTCCAGTTCAGATAAATGTAACCAAATGAATGAATGACGAATTATGGATAATAATTATTTCCGCATGCAACCTGTTTCTCAAGGAAATGTAGTTCCAATACCTTTTCTCAAATGTATTAAAAAAAGAACACATGATTGAATGAAGGGCTTTCATTTTGAAATCCGACGTTGGAACCTCCTTTCTCTGTGTGACACCTCGAGGTGGCAGCCAGCAACCTGTGGTGAAACTATTTTATAACTGTACCATTTCCTTTAACATCTTGTTTTAAAATAGAGAAATCAAGTATATTTATTTTTTATTCATATATTTGGATAAGTTTAAACATGATTAGAATAATTTTCTTTTGCATGCAGTAGTTATTATTACGTTTTTTTTAAGTTATTATTAGTTTATTGTAATTACATTTATTGCTAATTTGTTTAAGATATACAGAGTTATTTACTGTGTTTTTAAAATGAATGTGACATGTGACATGTCTTATCACGTTAACCGGCCCTTGGCTCTTATTTTGAAGTCAGTTCCTACACGATTACACCGTTATGCCTCCTACGTATGAATTTAATTGAATTCAGTTTCGGTGTAAGACTTTTTCCATATTGAACAAAAAAGGCACCACATCTCTTCCCTGTAATCTGACTGTAGCCTGTTTTAGGGAAGTGTGACTGCCATGACAGTGTTCTTCCCTCTCGACAGTGCGAGACTGAGGCTTCAAGGTACAGTTTTATTTACATTATCATATTGATTAATGTAACGTTATCACTAAAAACAACTTGTTTGCTTTTGTGTTCAGTGGATGAAAACAGGAGAGCCAAATCAACGCCAGCCATTCTGGCAGAAATTATCAAAGAGGAAGGACTGTGAGTGAAAAAATGTTGGACTTGAAAGTTTTTAAAGTATTAGTTTAATAACCAAATTTGTGTAATTACACAAACACACACGTCACAATCACCTCACACAACTCCAACCAACAGAGATGTTGGGCATGTCCCTGTGTTTGCTGTCCCTCCTGCAGATCAGCCATGTACAGAGGTTGGTTCCCAGTCATCTGCAGCCTGTGCTGCTCCAACTTCGTCTACTTCTACTGCTTTCACAGCCTGAAGGCCGGCTGGCTGAAGGGAAAGCAGTCGACGGCAAGCACCGACCTCGTCGTAGGCTTTGCCGCAGGTAAAACCGACATTTTAATCATCATAAAAACCTTGTTTTATTGACTCAGGACATGAAAGTCCTTCACATCTCAAAGCGGAGTCTATTTCTTCTGTTTTGTTGGTCTGCCTTCTCGTTTCCAGGTGTTATAAACGTGCTGCTTACTACTCCCTTGTGGGTTGTCAACACCAGGCTGAAGCTTCAGGGTTCCAAGTTTCGCAATGCACACATACGACCCACCAACTACTCTGGCATTCTGGGTAAATGCACATGTGATTTGGTGTTTTTGGTTGGTCTGTCCGTCCTGTCCATCATATCAGCAACGCCTGGAGGGAATTTCTTGATAATCGGCCAAACGCCAACTTATTATCCTTCCTTTTTTTTCATGGGGATGAGAAGGCTGCACGTAAAGCCGAGAGGCAGCGGCAAAACAAAAAATCTATCAAATGTTAATTAATTAAAGGCTGATCTGCTGTTTTCTGGCAGATTCATTTGCTCAGATCGTCCGCGGTGAGGGCGTGGGAGCTCTGTGGAACGGGACCCTCCCGTCTTTGCTGCTCGTGCTGAACCCCGCCATCCAGTTCATGATCTACGAAGGCCTGAAGCGGCAGATGAGGAGAGGCCTTCTGAGGGAGGTGAGTGAAGGACAGAGGGAGGGAAAGTACTGATGAGGAATGTTTGAACATGACAATATAATGTTATTATTATTCATCATTATTGTTACAAGAGATCTGGACATTTTTGCGATGGTCAACAAATGAATTGCATTGACGTTGGGATTTTAACCTTGGGATCCGCCATCAAAGTTTGATGTCAACACTACGTTGGCATCAAACTTTTCTGGTAGTGCATGATCAAATGTGAATTGAAATTACTTTTAGATAACATGAGAGCAAAACAATAGAATAGAAACACATAGAATTGATATGATCTATTATCAAAATACATTCATGTTGCAGGTAAAAAGAAGCGTGAAATATTAATAATACAATAAATGAATAAACACATATTTTGAAACAAATTCCTAAGAGAAGAGAAGAGAAGTGGAGGGGAGTCACTGCAGCTCATCCCGTCATCTGGATGGCTTAACACGGAAAACGCAGTAATTCCCTCCACGTGATTTTTGTCTGACTCCTTTTGGCTGAGCAGGTGCTTTCACACTTTGTGGGTCCACCTGATGGACAAATGTTCTAGTGAGTGTCACTTATTCACCTCACTGGTTAGTACGTACGAGAAGCAAACTCCTCAGACCTTCAGGCTTCCAATGTTCCTCTAAATTTCTCATCTTGCTCCTCCAAGCTGTCATCTGTCGAGGTCTTCATCATCGGCGCAGTTGCCAAAGCGGTTTCCACCATCGCTACGTACCCGCTTCAGACTGTACAGTCCATTCTCAGGGTGGGTTGTATGCGTATTTTGTTACGCGTGTGCTTTATTTTGTAAGTGTGTATATTTGAAACCCGCCACATAGTTTTGCCTCATTCTTATACAAATAAGAGCTTGTGTGCTATCAGGATCAGTTATAACACAGAGCAGTTGTTTTTCCCCTACAGTTTGGTCAGTTCAGCGAGTCGGCGGTCGAGTCAAAGCTACGGTCCAGCCTCCGAACCATCAAGTGTCTGCTGGTCAACAGAGTCAGGCGAGTGCACACAAACCCGTTCAATTTGGTCGACACTTATGGATCTGTTTAAGTTCCTGTGTTCAGATTCAGCTCATAATGCAAATAGGAAGAATGCATCAGACTTTTGAATTAGGAGGAATTTGTAGCTTTTGTGTGTACACACAGATCGCTAAATAATAAAATGTTAAAAAGACTTCCCACCACTGGAGATAATGACGTGTTGTTTTTTAACCCTGGTTTCCATCCATAGGACGTATGGCATGTTGGGTCTGTTTAAAGGCCTGGAAGCCAAGCTGCTGCAGACGGTGCTGACAGCCGCACTCATGTTTCTTCTCTATGAGAATATTGCCAGCTGCACCTTCAGAGTCATGGGACTGAGCAGCAAGCAACACAAGAGACACTAGCTTGCTTCTCAACGGTGGACGTTTGACCATATTAAAGCACGGACTGACTGTAGCGATCACTGCTTACTGAGGACTTTAACTTCTGGCAAAACTTGTACAAGTTTGTATCATGTCGGCGAATTTCTGATTGTGACCTCATCCCACAAATACTCTAACCAATAAAAAATGTCAAACTTAAATTCTTTTTTTTTTTTTATTAAAAAAAAAAGAAGTGAATCTTAACATTTGCAACTGGCATCAAAATCCAGAATGTGCAGGAGACCCGTGTTAATAATACTTCAGCGTCAGCTATCGCCGGTGATCCTGTCCGGCACGCGCCTGGAGCCGCGCGGAGGACCCGCACTGACCCGCACACGCATGTGTTCCGCGCCGGAAGGAGGCTCGTCCATCCGCATGCTGTACAGATCTGCGGTTCTTCAGATCGGGTGACGCGGCCGCCGCAGCTCCGGCTTTTCACCATTACGTAATTAAACGCTCTAGCGCGGCTCTAGCTTGTAACAAATATCCCCGAAGTTGACTAGTGCCTTCTCACCACCATGGCTACAAGAACCGCTAAAGACACAGAGAAGCACTGCGTCCTGTGCGTCCAAGAGGTCGACATCTTCGCGTTGGGGAAATGTGACCACCCGGTGTGTTACCGCTGCTCCACCAAAATGAGGGTGCTGTGCGACCAGAAGTACTGCGCCGTCTGCCGGGAGGAGCTCGACAAGGTGCGTCTTCCGCCGCCACTCGGGCTCGGGGATGCCGCCTGGTGGTGCTAAGTAGGCCGCATCGTTCAGGCTGTCTTTTAAAAAAAAATTGTTATAATGGACAAAATTAGTCGGCGTGATTTAGTTTGATGACACCGTAGCTAGATTCATAATAAATAAAAAAGGCAATGCTGGTAAACGGCGACCGGCGATGTCAACCAAAGGCTCAGGCTAACGTTTATTTCCTCCTCGCTGTCATTAGCGTGGCTAGCTGAGGTAGCTAGCGCTAACATTAGCAGGTTAGCTGGGGTAACGTCAGTTCCACCTCCAGGCGAATCCGTGTAGCTAGTTAGCTAACTAGTTGACAGTGTGCTCGTCCAACTGGGTTTATCTTTTCATTCAGGGAACTGTCACGTCTGCTGTCACCTCTCCAACACACCAATGGCTCAGCGGTGTTGGCTAGGTTGCTAACGTTAGCGTTTAGCTAAACTGTTCTGTCTAAACTGTGGAAAGTTAATCGGTGGCTGTGTGCTCGTCACCTTTTCCAATAGGACGTCGTTTCTTTAAAGAAAGTAAAGTTGGCTGCCGTCTGGTCTCTGCGTAACGCTTAGAAGAAGGTCCTCGCCACCTACCACTCCCTTTTTAAAAGTTACTTATGAGGGAGCAGTCAATTATGAAATGCAACCGGAGTATAAAGCTTTATAACGTTAGGTATAACCGGCTGTACAGGGCATCTATGACTGGGTTCCATACATGCCCTGCTTTGCCATAACCCCATAAGATACTTTGGATCAGGTCTTTGTGACAGGGTCAGCATTTTAAGTGCCTTACTCTTTAGTAACAAGTACTGCTATGAAACCTGCCTCCACATAAACGTCATTTTTCCAACACTGCCATATGGCCTCATTATCCCTTCATTTAGTTCAAGGAGTATGTGTTGAATTGGTTGCTCAGCATGTTCTGACTGGCATGTTGTACACAGGTGGTGTTTGTGAAAAACCCGGAGGCCTTCTCATCTCTGCCCTTCCAGCAGTTCCCCTGTGAGAAGAAGTATGATATCTATTTCTGTAACGAGAAGATCTACGCCCAATACAGGTACTGCTCTGTCCTATTCACCTCTAGAGATGATTATGTTCTTTATAGACCTTGCTAATGTAGTATATTAAAGTTTCCAAACGTGTTACCAAGACTTTTTCACATCAACGTTCAAAATCACTGTTTATTAGAAGAAGGAGCTTATTTTTTGTGTGTGTGTCGTATCAGGCGTCTGCTGTCTCCAGAGTGCCTCCGCTGTCCAGAGCCAAAGGTCTTCTCCAAGTACGAGGAGCTGGAGCATCACATGAGGAAGCAGCACGAGCTCTTCTGTTGCAAGCTCTGCTCAAAGCATCTCAAGGTACTTTCGCCCGCATCCAGCTAACACTCGTCAAAATGAATGCACTACGTAAGTGCGTTTAAACTGGATGAAATCATTTCTGGAGGGCAGAGAACAAACGGTAGATTTAAATAGATCCATGTCCATGTCAGCGCAGATGATTTGGTTCCCCTCGTCTCTCATCACGATAAATTAGATCTTGAGAAACAAGTTGTTTCTTTGTATTGCTAAAGATGTATATTCTTTGGGTAAAATTCTACGGTAACTAACTTTTCTGGTTAAAGAGTGGTTGCTGGTGACCTTGCCATCCCTAAAATCCTGCAAGCTTTTCAAACTTTTAAGTCCCGAGCAGCATTGATGAGATGTGATTTTGCTGTGTATCCTTGTTGATCGCCTGGTTGATGTTGCTGTTTATCTCTAATTCCATTCGGTTTGTTGTAGATGTTCACACATCGCCAGCTTTGTTAGGAGAACGTTTAGTTTCTGACCCAGATTGGCGATAACTACTTTAGGTATAAATTAACTCCATCACTGGGATCGGAGCATTTCGACGTTGTGTTATATCTGAACTTGTTCCCAACTACGACTACTCTCCCTCTAGATCTTCTCCCATGAGCGTAAATGGTACAACCGCAAGGAACTGGCCCGTCACCGAGCACACGGCGATCCAGACGACACCAGTCACAGGGGACACCCGCTCTGCAAGTTCTGCGATGACCGTTACCTTGACAACGATGAACTGCTGAAGCACTTGCGCCGGGACCACTACTTCTGCCATTTCTGTGACGCAGATGGTTCCCAGGAATATTACAGGTGTGTTGCAGCTGGAGGAACCCCAGGTGTTGACTGGCGTGTGGTGGCTGTAGTTTTGAGGCATTTGTTGACATCTTTATCTACGTCAACAGCGACTACCCGTACCTGAGCGAGCACTTCAGAGACAGTCACTATCTGTGTGAGGAGGGCCGCTGCGCCACAGAACAGTTCACTCATGCATTCCGTTCCGAGATCGACTACAAGGCCCACAAAGCTGCAGAACACAGCAAGAACCGAGCAGAAGCCCGACAGAACCGCCACATCGACCTGCAGTTCAACTACACTTCGAGACAAGGGCGGAGGAACGAAGGTCGGTGAACTTTTCATTGCTGGGTGTTTGAGACGTGCCTCATCTTAATGTCTAGATGTTGCCATGACGAGGTTGAAGGCAGTGAATGTGTACAATTAAATATATATATATATATATATATATATATATATATTTAAAACAGGCTTTTCCTCAGGCATGGTGTCTGGCGAGGACTACGAAGAAATGCGTCAGTCCCGAGGGGGAAGGGGAAGGATTCATGGGGGACAGAAGAGCTGGAGGTATTCCCGGTGAGTGCATTCATTTTTTTTTAATAAGTACCGGCGAAGTGTTGTTGTTATCACGCCTTTCTCCAAACAAATGGCTGCATCAAATTGTCACAACTTCGTTTCTCTTCATTGAAATGTAGCATTTGAATGTTTTAGTAGCTGATAGAGTACATTTCCATTTAGTTCTCAGTCACTTTTGAAGCATATTTTCTTGAATGTGTGCTTTGCCTCGCAGAGAGGAAGAGGACAGGGAGGTGGCCGCTGCTATGAGGGCATCCATGGCAAAGCGAAGGCAGGAGGAGAGAGGAGCGATGCAGGAGAGGAGCGCTCCCAAACACTGCAGAGAGGAGAGGAGCGCTCCCAAACACTGCAGAGAGGAGAGGAGCGAGAGGGCAGAACCCGAGGAGCCCAAACACCGGACCGGACTCGTCAAACCAGTAACCAAACCTCCAGGTGAGAACGAGACATTTGTGTAGTCCGGGTGTGTTGTTTTCTGTGTTTACTATGTGGTGTAGTTACACATCGCTGCCCATGATAGTCTCATTCATAGTAAGTTCAAGTTGCATTATGGGATGGAAGTGAGTCAGCTGTCATCCTCAGCAGCTCAACTGTCACTCTGTTTTCTCTTCAACAGTACGAACAATGAAGAGCTCTAATCCAGGGGATGAAGAATACGACTTCCCAGCTTTAGGGGCCACATCTGCCCCACCCATGTAAAGTTTTACTTTTAACAGTACAAACTGAACACACCAAAGTGTGCTGATTTGTTAAATGTCTGTTGTCTTCCTCCCTCCAGTGTTAAGGCAGCTCCTGCCACGGTAACAGCAACACATGCGGCTTTGAAGGAAGACGACTTCCCGAGCCTCTCGGCGGTATCTGTTGCGTCCCCCATGACCCCGGCTTACTCTGCCCAACCCAGGAAGACTTCCTCTTTCCACGAGGAGGATTTCCCCGCGCTCGTGTCCAAAATCCGGCCCCATAAGCATGCAGCTGGCACCAACTCCGCTTGGTCCAACCACACCGCAGTAGCTAAGCCCCAGGCTAACCCTCCTCCGCCCTCCAGACCTTCCCCTCCTCTCGCGGCCGTCTCCTCCGGCCCTCAGCTGCTCTCCTCCTCCTCCTCCTCCTCCAACTCTTCATCTCTGCGGAGGAAAAAGAAGTTAAGGGAGAACGAAAAGGCAACGTCTAACCGGTCCCCGCCTTCCGACGATGACTCTAACGGAGGGCTGACGCAGCAGGAGTCCCGCCCGGTGCCCACCATGTTGGATATCTCCTCTCTGCTCACCGTCAAAGGAGGCAACGGCAAACCCTCCGCCAGGACCCCCAACCCCCCGAACCCGACGCCCATCCCCGATCCTTTCACCCCTAAAGCCAGCAAGAAGAAAAAACAGCAGAAGACCACGGCCGTTCCCCCTACGTCCGCGTCTTCGATGTCGGGCACGGCGCAAACTGTGAGCGCCGTCTCCGTGGAAACGGCGGCGCAGAAGGAGAACGTCCCAGAGAAGAGTTGGAACAAACCGCCCCCCAGTGCTGTGACGCTGAGTGGGTTGGCTAACGGCCACACCGAAAAGGCCCCGCCCATTAGTAAGGAGGCAGTGGCGACGACCCTTCATCCCAAAGCAGACCCCCCTCTGAAGGAGGAGGAGGAGTTCCCTGCGCTCATGACCAAGAACCCCCCACCAGGTACACAATGTCCATCTATTGTCTTGTAGGATTTTCTATTTTACTCTGCTTATATTTGTTGCTCACTACGACGTATCAAACCTTCCATCTCTCAGGCTTCAAGTCGTCTTTCCCGCTGAAGGCCTCGGCTCCGCCGCCGGCCTCCGTCATGCCCCCCCCTCCACCCGGCCTTGGAATCTCAGCCCCTAAACCTCCCCCTGGATTCACTGGGATCCCCCTCAACAGCAACGTGGTGGAGCCGGCTCCGTCCGCAGTCAACCCGTGAGACCGTCTCCCTTTTTAACACACACTCTCCCTTTTGGTTCGTTTGTACCTCACGAGGCCCAAACTCACCTGATATGTTTTATTATTATCCTCGTCATGTCCCAGGCCCCCCAAACCGTCGAGCAGTGGTTACCTGGTGCCAGACGACTTCAACCAGAGGAACCTGGAGCTGATCCAGTCCATTAGGAAGTACCTCCACAACGATGAGTCAAAGTTCAACCAGTTTAAAAACTACTCTGCACAGTTCAGACAGGTAAAATACAAGGTTTCTGGACTCCACTCTCATCCACAGAGACTCAAACATTGTAGGAGCTTTAGCTGCGGATAAAAAATCTTGATTTAATGCCAAAGTCCTGAGGCCCCGAGTAAATGCAGAAAGCTTCCTCCTCCTCCTTTGTTTCCAGAGTGTGATATCGGCGGTCCAGTACCACAGCAGCTGTAAGGACCTCCTCGGAGAGGACTTCAACTGCATCTTCAACGAGCTGCTGGTGCTCCTGCCGGACACCGGCAAGCAGCAGGAGCTCCTGACCGCCCACGGCGACTGCAAGGCGCTGGAGAAGCAGTCGGGCGCCGGAGGAGGACGGAAAAACAAGAACAAGAAGAACGCCTGGCAGATGCCGACCACCATGGCCAACGCGGCCGCCGAGCTGGACTGCCAGGTCTGCCCCACCTGCAGACAGGTGCTCGCCCCGAAAGACTTCAACTCCCACAAGACCCTGCACGTCCGGGACAGTGAGGACTTCCCTTCCCTGCAGTCAATCAGCCGTATCATCAGCTAGCCTTTTGTTTTGCCACCCTGGGCTCATTTTTCAGTTGGCTTTCGGTGTTTTAATTAATAACGGGGGATCAAGTTGATGAGCTTGTGTTGAAACACACGGGGCTGCTGCATCATCTCGACTCCTTGCATCCTTTCGAGGACGTCTCCAGCTGGCACTGGCTGCGGCAGCGTGGGTCAGAGCACACCTGCCGGTTTATTTAATGCAGGAGGGGGCAGGAGCCAAGGCTTTAGTTTTTTCCCCTCGCTTGAAGACCAAATGTATCATGTTAACGTGGAGGCTGGTGATTTGTGGGGGGGGGGGCTTGCTCAAATTACAAAATAAACACAAACATGATCGGTTTAACTTTATAGCAGCATATTCATTTAAGGGCTGCAGTTTGAGTGGATTGTTCCTGTTGTGAATGAGGGGGTGACAGGAAGTGCGCTGCATTGGAACAAATTTGGAATCACAGTTTGAATCTCTGTACGATGTTTTCGTTGACGTTTATTGGCTGAAAAGCTGTAATTTGTTTTTCAGTGACGTTGCACAAATTTTCAAATGGAAACTACATGGAACTAAATTATGAGCGATGGTCCTTTGCATGTTTTCAAAGTTATGTTCAAATAATATATTACTTTTTAGGATCAGGGTGTCCATGAGATGTTACCAGAAGCTATTTATAGTCAAGGCTCCAGGTTTGTTCCAGTATACATTTTGTTCTGATTCCTCGTGAAGAAATTACTGTAGTGATCATGTTTACGAATCAAAATTCTCAACTCTCTCTGCCTCCGTTTCAACAAACCGGGAATGTTGTGTGAGTAAAACTCTCACAAACAAACAAACAAACACACACACAGCAGCTTACTTTCTGCTCCAATAAAGCTGTCTGTGCCACACAGTGTGTGTCTGTATCTTTGTACGGTGTGAGTGTTTGTGATGTGGATGTTGTCATTTCTGTGTCCATAAAACCAACTGCATCTTTGAAATCTGCTGTTTTATGTTTAGTTAAATGCCTCTTAGGGAAAGTTAAGCTGACGCTGGAGTGTTGGACCTTAATATGGAGTCATTTTTGGCTAATAACAGGTTATGACTATTGGCAGATGACTATGTCATGAATTCCTTAACTCGACCATACCAAGTATAATTGCTTTTATTGAGTTTGAACAAATGAATGAGTTCATACGACTATTTGTCCGTTTCATATGTGAGAAGATGTTCTTGTTACAGATGATTCCCTAAAGGTTCATCGCCACGGGCAACGGGCCCTGCATCACCGTCGTGTCAGATCTCCAGAGGCAGCGACAGAAACAGGAAGTCCAAAAGCATGTTTTGTCTTTTATTGGAGTCAGACTGCAGCCCACAGACATCCAGGTATTAGACGGTGACACACATCTCTGTACACCTTCAGAACATAAAGAGCTCAGAGGAAACAGCACTCTGGAAATCAATGTTTGCTTGATTTGTTGGTCGATGACAGGGGGGATACATTTTCATTAATATTATATGGGGGAGAAATTGTAACATTCATGCAATGTATTATATCGATCACCTTTTTATAATCTCAGTCTAACTAAACAACAGCATGAAATCACAAACTTTGATTTTGGTGCCGGCGGCCCCGTTCAGAGCGATCAAAGTATTTCCAACAGAGAGCTCGTTCTAGTTAATAAATAATCATTATTTATGTTTTTATATGTTCAGTAGTACAGGACAAACCAGACCTTAGACAGCATCACACACAGGTTCCATTTACTTCAATAACGTACTGAACTTTACAACCAATACCACGGTAGTGCACATAGGCCAGAGCACAAAACATAGAGAATGCTTGTATTTTTATTATCATCTACCACAGAAGAGACCGAAACACTGAGAATAATAATACAACCTGACCTGACAGTACCCCAAATTACCCAGTAGTACCCCAGCAGTACCCAATACCACCATCAATAACCCGGTTTCACCTCATTACAGTCAACAGGTTACTAGCAGATTTATAGAAACTGACTGGCATTACTTTCACATTTTGGTTTCTCTTTTCCTTCTTTATGGTGACTTTATGGTGAGTTCACTGTCGTGGAGAATGTCTTTATATTCACATCATATGAGGATGAATCAAATGTTTTGTTATTAAATACACTTACTGGTACCAAACAATACCTGAAAGTATTTAACACTCATTCTGATTTTTTTCCTGAACCAAAATCCTAAAAGGAAATTTTACAGTTTCATCCCAAGTTCAGATCATATACTCACATAACTATGCTGGCACAGTCCGGTGAATAAAATATTTTTGTAAAAAAAAAAAAGTCGTGCTTGAAGTCCTCAACCGATTGGTTAACTTTGGTTTCCAAGACTCTAAAATGATCTTAATCATTTTAATACTCAGACTGCAGCAGACAGAAATTGGCCTCATATCCATTTGACTGCATCCATAATCTGCATTATCCCCTGATTATGATTTCAGACGGCAGGTAAAGAGCCATGGTTCCACCCTGCAGCACACGTGTGTGCGTGTGACCGGCTCGATCGTGAGGTCGAGATAACATCGTCGGATGAACAGAGAGTTCGGGCATAAAGTCTGGCTGGCCGCTCACATTTTGCAGAAACAACGAGTCGACTTTAAGAATGACGTAGTATTCAACATACGAGATCTATACAACAGTTCCATGCATTATTTCCATGATTACTTTAGGACTCTTGTCCCGTTGCTGCAGAGCTTCTCTGCTCTGATAACGCTGATAATATATTCAGCAGAAGGACGTTTTGTTTTAGTGGAAACGATTGAACTTAAACGCGTGTTCAGGAAAATAACTTTTCTGCACCACAAATTTGAACTTACTGGACATTTATCCTCATCCCCCCCCCCAACGCGGCTCGCCTGCACGCTTTACACGTTCTCACTCACACACACACACACACACTAAAACTACAGTGGTTCACACGACGCGGGCCTGTCAGTGACCAATGTCCACCCGACCGTGTCCCCGTTACCATGGCAACAAATCCAGAACCGGCCTCCCGCGGAGGCAGAACAGCAGGATCGATGAATTAGCCGGCCAGAGCGATCCATTAAGGTCTTTCTTCCGCCTCTGACTGCACTAAACCCCCAATAACTCCCCCCCCCCCCTCCATGGTTTGTGTTCACATAAAACAACACAGTCGTAATGTGACAGAAGACACCGATAAGGACACAGGGCAGTTTTGCAGCTTCTAAAAAACGTAAACAAACACGCAACCGAGGACACTGTCTCATATCACGGACTACACACATTCCCTGGTCCCGTGGGACGGGTTAAGGGCCCCTGAGCGCGCACACGCAAAGCCCCCCACCTCTATGGTGGGTATTGTGTCCCTTTCTAGTTGTTTTGCATCTCTTTGTGGTCATTTTGAGTCTTTCTTCTGTCTCTTTTATGGTCGTTGTTTGTCTCTTTTGCTTTGTGATCTTTTTGCGGCTGTTTGGCCCTTCCAGTAACCCATTCATATCTGGCACAGAAAAATAACTTTGATTTACCTTTTGATAAACCTGGAAAATGTCTGGCCCCTCTTTTAAAACAATTCTTACATTACGTCAAGGAAGACCATACAAACCAATACTTATTTTATATAAATGCGAAACAATAAATGTGAAAAGATCTGTTTGATTAAGATACAACTTCTACATCGTGCAAACGTTCACCAGGAAAGCTCAAAGTCAGATCCACTATTTTTCGTTTTGAAATTTGCCCGAGATTTGTTGGTGCAAGTGATTTGAGACAGTGCCCGAGGTTGGTGTACCTGCAGTACAGTAAACACCTTCCCACAGACCTACGTGACAATGTGAGATATTGCACTTAGTCATTGTTGTTTTTCCGGCATGTGAAAATCTACTGAAATGAAGTCACTGTCTGAGACACACAGCACAGCATGGCACTTGGTCGATCTCCAAGTTCGGAAACATGCAGATTCGACACACATCTTCACTTTTTAACAGACCAGACCGCACTGTAGCAACAAAACATACATCATTCCCCGTACTGTTGGCCATGACATTTGCACACTTAGATGAACGAGAGAATGGGATGGAGGTGCTGTGTGTGAGTGCATTCTGCACTATTCTTTTTGACTTAACACTCGGAGGCGGAATCCTAAATCTCATCATCTCTGTTTTGTTTTGGGGTTTTTTTTTGTCTAAATTTCTCATATTCCCCTCTTTTTTTGTTTTCCTCTCACACAAGAGGACGCTGGATTTGAGAACGATTCGAGTTTAATATACAGGGCAAGAGAGGTGCAGAGTGTTGAGGAAGGAAGGAAAGGGAACGAGACGAGGGAACAAAGAACAAGAGGCCTTTTTTCTCTCTTTTCTCTACAATTGAAAACTCAGCCCAGAACAACTGCAGGTGAAACATCACAGAAAGCACATTTTCTGTCACTTTCCTCTCATCCGTCTCCCGACCTTCCGCGTCCGCCGCCCCGTCTAGTAAATGGGAACCTGGTAGGTGGGCGCCGCGTTGCTCTCGGTGAAAGGCGGGCTCTGGTAGGTCTCTGAGGCCTCGGCGGTGACGCCTACGGGCGAGTTGGAGGGGTACGGCTGGGTGGGGGCGCCGCCGTCCATGTGCTCCGTGGTGAACAGAGTCATGTCGGTGCCGAGCAGATACTTCTGGACCGCACGCACCGTCAGCCCGGCCTACAGGGGAGGGAGGGGGGAATCAAAATGAGGGCCCCAAGCAGCCGGTTAGCTTAGCTTAGCATTAACGAAATGCCACCAAAACGCCAGGGAAGTTACCGCTCTGAACCAACGATCCGGCACACGACCCCCTTTAAGATGGCGAATTCTGGCTGTTATTCACATATGACTTAACAAACAAGACATAAAGAGCTTATTGGAAAGCTGAAAACATAAATAATGTTTTGTTCTATAATATAAGAATCGTCGATAAATACTGATGCCGCTAACAGTTGAATGAGAAAACCGAACGCTGTTGTGCCGGCAGCCTCGTTGAGTGATGTCATGTGATCGTGGTGCTTAATTCATGTTAATTCATAGCCTAACATCAGCATTTTACTCCTGCAGATTGCATTAAAGCTTGAAATTAAATGTTCTTGCTGAAAACAACTTGTAATTATCACGATCCACTGCTCATTTTCTGCAATAATCCAAAGTAAAACTGGTGCGATGCTAAATTCTGTGATTGGCCTCCAACAAACGGTTACTGTCTAGTTTGAGAAAGTATTCAAAGTTATTAAGGGTTGAGGAATAATAAAGCGATGCTGAGGAAAGTAATCACACTTCTGATCCAATGATGCTTCATATTCATCGTTCTGTAAAGCTTCAGGGAAGCGCCGGCCCGTCAGCTCCCTCCTGAGCCGCCACTACACATAAAACGTCATCTTCTCTGAATGTGTGTCCTCACCCAGGTGATGATGGAGAAGAAGGAGAAGGCGATGGCCGCCCGGGCCGCGTCCGCCCCCTGGTTGAGTGGCAGCTCGTCGGCCGTGGTTTCAGACCACTGATTGGCCAGGAAGCAGAAACCTACGAAGAACAGGAAGGTCCAGGCGCCTGTGGGGAACCGGTGGAGCAGAGACACCCAGTTACACGACAGAACCGGACTTTGTTCCCTTTTCTTTTTGCCGGAGATTAAAGGCGCTCTCGTTTTCTCTGAAGCCTTTTTGCGTCAGGTTTCGCTTCTCTATAGTGGTGCAACAAAGCAGTCATCTGAAACAAACCAGCCGGCCTAGTCGAACTAATTTGTCGTACCGTTTTTTGGGGAAACCCCCGCCTTTTGATTCCTGCCGATTAGCCGTAAATCACAGACTGATGTCAGAATCGACTGGGATTTATCTGAGTGATCGGTAAGAAACACACACAATCTTACAAGAAACATAACAGGCGTGTGAACACGACGGAAACGCTCCTCACCCGAGAAGCCGATCTCGAGCATTATGGCCTTCTTCCTGTCCTTGACGGAGCTGATGGAGGAGAACTTGTAGTCCAGCATGAAGAAGAAGGAGCAGGCCAGCAGGCCCACCAGGCCCACGAACACGCCGTAGTTGCAGGCGTCCGCGTTCCTGTTGAAGACGCAGTGGAGGCGCTCGCTGCCCAGGTTGACGTAGCCCTCGTTCACGATGGAGGCAAAGACCACCAGGGAAAATATCTGTGGACGGCGGGAAACTGTTATGGGACATTTTTTCCTCGCTGTGAAACGGGCTGAGGCGGCGCTGCAGCGCGGCGTCCCTCCGAGCGCGCTCAGACCGGAGGCATTAACCTAATTTCCCCTCTTTGTCTCGGTGTGGCTGAAGATCAGGAGTCGTCCTGCGGTGTGTGTGTGTGTGTGTGTGAGGGGAATGTTGCCATAACTTTAAGCTATAAAACTATTTGTTCCCTTGTTGTTGTTTTTATGAATGAGACTCTTCTTCAGGTCCGAATGTGTTCATCTCTTTGGCTTCGTACCTCAGTCTGAGCGAACACACTGATCAGCTGACTGACTCTGGGTGGCAGAACAGGGCCATGTGACACACACACACACACACACACGAGCAGTAAAGCACCCACACTCGGGGGGTTTCGGTCATGTGATGGTGGACGATGGGATAATAACCTCACTTTGAAACACTCAAGTGCTCATGCATCAATGCACTTTCATCTCCAAACGAAAGAAGGAACATTATTCACCTATTTTTACTACAAGAGTAACTTTCCACATCTGTACTCTTCTTCTTTCCTTATTCAAAGGAAATTAAAGGTTTGAGTTTTAAAATCACTAACTGCATTTAAGTCAAATCATTTACTTTACTTTATCACTTTACTACAGAATGTAAATTGTATAAATTTTTAAACCCCAGAATGGGGAACCGCTGGATTGAGCTTGTCAACCAGCTTTGTGAGCATCAGTGCTTTACAATGTAATTATTCCACATTTATTTTACAGTTTTACATCTTTCTGCTTCAAGGTGCAGCGAGGCTGCAAATTGCAACCAACTGAAACGTCCCACGTGTGCCAAGCGTGTTCGGACACAGAACTTAAAGAAAACGCAAAAAGCTCCTATTAAGTGCTGGTTTGTCCCTTTTGGTACTGTGGCAAGTAATCTAATTATAAAATTGAAAAATACACATTATATACCCACAAATAGAATAGGGCCTATTAGGCTGCACATTTCACTTCATTACAAACCCAAACAATGTACTGCTCTTTTAAAGATACTTCTGATATTACATGTTTGTAGTAGTTTTGTATCTTTACTCAAGTAAAAGATCTAATGACACTTGTTTAGCATGTGATGCTTTACACTCAGACGGGTTTCAGCTACTTTAACCTTAAAACACGTTGGATGTGTCCAAACGGTCCGGAGGACGCGTCATGTGTCGGAATCACGCGCACCTCAGACCCATTAGGAAAAAGATATTGGACCGACGTCTCCTCCGCGGTGTATTCCATAGATCCCCCCCCCCAGCAGAAGGCCTTCTCCGTGTCACCCAAAGGTGCGTTACACCAAACGTCAGGGCGCCTCCGCGGCGCCGCGTGCGTAATGATGCGCGCGGACCAATCACGAGGTGGGGAGACGGACGACGACCGTATAGGGGAAGAATCAGCTAAATGTATCATATGTAGAGACGTACGATGTAAAACAACGTGACACGCACACGTTAAACAACGAGGTTGGGATTCAGACACAGACCGAAGGGATCAAACAGCCGCGGGCCGCAGACGTGATTTACATGATCGATGTGATTCATGTGAGAATCACAACGAACGACACGGCGGAGCAGGAGAGAGTAGGTTGCTTCCTGCTCGGACCCCCCCGCGAGGACGTGTAGGGGAAAGGGTTTGGACCGCCAGGGTGTCAAGACAGCCTCGGTTACACCCTGCGCCCCTACCGACGCCCCCCCCCCGGTTCCCTCCGCACATCCGGTTACCGCTGGATTTCTGGGGGGGTCCGTGTTCGCAGTGAGAACACGTCACGGGTCTCGCGCTGCAACGACAACACAGACCCCCCCCCCCCCCCCACACCACACACACACACAGACACACACACACGGCGGTGCCGGGAGAAGAACCTCACCCAGGAAAGCACTCTGAGGATGGTCTGCGGCTGTTTGGCGAAGGTAATCGGGTCGATAGTGGACCCGGACCGGCCCGCTCCGAACGATCCCACTCCTCCGTCCATCTTCTCTCTCTCTCTCTCCTCTCTCTCTCTCTCTCTCTCTCTCTCTCTCTCTCTCTCTCTCTCTCTCTCTCTCTCTCTCTCTCTCTGTGCGCTCCCGGCTCCGCCGGCACGATGGATGCGCTGCTTCTCGCTGTAGTGAGGACTGGTCCAGCGCGCACGCGCACAGGCGCACGGGGACTGAGGAGGACGTGAGTGGGGGGCGGCAGGAACGGGGGGGGGGGGGGGGTGGGGGGGGACATCGTGCCGTGCCCGACATTTTTTGCACAGAAATATTTTATATAAAATAGAAAATATAATAATAATAATAACATGGGAGATAAGAGATGAAAGAAACCGACTCACCGCGAGGCTGTTGGGTTTTATGGAGTTTTAAAGGCCAAACCTTCTTCTATAAAGTTCACCAAGTGAAATGTATTCAATGAAACCTCTCAAATGAAGTATATGCTCTTCAAAGGGCTTCATAAGAAACGTACATGCCTTTATTATCTCATTCCAGTAACATAGAATAAAATAATTCATAATCCATCCATCCATCTATGTCGTCAAACATCCCCAGACTGCTGGGGGAGTAAAAAGAAAGTAAAACCCTGCCTTGGCTCCTCCATTAGACGCACACATTGATTACACTACATTAATAAATAAATAAATAATAAATAAATATCTCATAAAGACAAGTCTCATGATGATGTACAAACACCACAATAAGCCACTGTCACAAGTTTACTCCTGTCGAGCTTCACAGTACAACAAAGCAGATATTGTGAGAATACGATATCGTGCGTGTCGTTCGTGTCTCTGACCACTAGAGGTCAGCGACGTCTACTTCAAAATGCAATATCTCAACTGTAACGATACAACTAATATTATAATATAATATCTAATAACTATTATCAGAGTTGTCGATTAATTCTGATTGTATTAGTATGTGGAACAAACACAAAAAAACCACAACTATAGGATCAGAATAACAGTGAAAACAAACAGTAGCAGCTGAGCGTACGTGTCCTCTACTGGCTCCTCGAATAACAAAGTCATTCTCAGTGTTTATTAATAAACTTCACTAAAGGGTAAGAGCCGTCACAGGTGTTTTAATTATCCATATTATATCGTACCTCCTTTTATGAATTGTTTGTTCGATTAAAAAATATAAGTGACATCTGGCTGAATCTGAGGTGTCTGTTTGAAAGTGCTTATTTTGTCCAAAAGCAATTGACAATGTCATGAATTAGAGAAATAAAAGTAAATCACCCCTTTTGATGAGCAGTTTTAAAGACAGAGTTTTTAAACTTAATTTAATTGAATATTTGTAAATAGCAAATTACATAATAATTCCAGCACTTACGAAAATAAATTAACATACCCATAGGTATACAGACCCCCCCCCACCCACACACAACTATGCAAATATTCAAACATAAAATCTGTATTATAACAGTATGTGTCTGGATGTAGTATTCACAAAATAAATTGCTGGATCTGATATTCCGAGTTGTGGGGATTCTTCTGGGTGAAACAAGACTTAAGATGCAGGTAGCAAAAGTTTTATGTACTAATTATAACAAACTTTAACGGGCAGATCAGAGCAAACTGAGTAACAGGTTATAAATATCTTTAATTATTGCCAGATGAGTTTGATTAACCGACCACTAAACAAGAATTCAAAGCCCACAACATAGTGTCTTTCTCTTCACATTAAGATTCCCCACAAAAGTCGTTCGGTCCACATTGCGGCCTCCCCACTTAAAAGTTTTGCACCGACAGAAATCATTTCTCCTCTCAGGCCTCAGTCGCAGGAACCATCTTTCCATCCGTCTTTCCAACGCTCGTCGACGCGGGAGCAGTCGAACTCGGGCTTTCCCAGCCGGACGTTGACGCCGTTGTGGATGTGACAGAGCCACTGAGAGAGCGCGTGGCGACTCCTGGTGTCCGGCTGGTTGGTTTTCAACCTGCAGAGGGGAAGCGGTGCATTATGCCGGTGTACGGGAACACCCAAAAAATGGGACCGCTTCAACTGAAAAACAACGAAAGCGTGCGTGCATTGAAGGTCTGACCTGCCCCTGAGGTCTTCTGCACATTCGTCACACGGGAAGAACTTGGAGAAAAGGTTGATGAACTGCCCCATCTCTTGCTGCTGGGTGGAAGATGGACTGTCGGGGTAATAGGCCGCCATGGTGTGCAGGAAGGACCACGTGTTGCGGCCCAACTCTCCCCTGTCTAGCGGACATTGTGGGTCTTGTGGCTCTGACTCTTGGGGCTCCTGGGGGGGTCAAACTGGTGTTTTAAAAAGGGAGCAGACATGACAACTGCATTGCGTGGTCAACGCTGATTTCTGGTTCAATGTGAATTGCTCATATCTCGTCCCACGGGCAAACTCGTCGCCAGAGAAGGCTATTTGTCTCATGGAGATGAGGATCAAATAAACTTTCAATCAGACGTGCAGACATTTTTCTCCCTCTGACGTCACAGGATGAAACCCAACGTAACAACCACGGGGCACGACGTCATGACGTAGAAAGTTTGTGAATGCTCGAGGGATACCACTCCAGCACACTGACGAGTTAAAAATCATGTTAGCCTATAAACAATATTGTATTCAAGCCAAACTATGCAACTAAGAGTTATATTTCTACCCTGTGTTGACCTCATGTTACCTGTGCAGCAGACGTCGTCTGGTTCTTCTGGACCTTCATCCACGATTTAAAGTCCGTACAAGCTCTGCACGGCTTCTTTTTCACCCCCCCGGTTTGCTCCGGCTCTTTACCGGAGCTGTCCCCCGGTGGTTTGGCGGCCACGGCGAACGGAAAACCTTCAAACCCGGCCGGGTTAGAGGTTGCATTTCCTCTCGGTCCTGTGGGCGCAGCCATGTTTGCCGTCTATATTACCTAATTTCGCGCGCACTGATTAATCGATACATCAGGAATACCCGGATGTAAAAATACGGCTTCATCTCACTGGGCACATTATCGCTTTAAAAACATTACTTTGCTCCGCCGAGGGTTCAACTTCGTCGTCGTGCTGCACAATCACCTTCCGATGTGGGCGATAATGATACAACACCGGCCTTAGCGCGCGTTTCCGTGTTTCACCCGGAACTTTCATGGGCACGGAACGACTTCCGGTGGCTGGTGTCAGCTTTCTGTGCATGCCGCTGATTGAAACCTCCGTCAAAGTGTAAATTTCATACTGCGACATTTAAAAAAAAATGTGTTAGCGCATGAGTTCAATGAAGATATTTACCTAAATGCTGTTGTGTCGATTGATAGTTTTTAATCCAGTGTGCCAGCTGTTAGGTTCCACTTGTTAGCCTGTATGCTAACAAAGCTAACAACTGTGGGCTGACACGTTTGTGCTTTGTGTTTTTCTCCCCGTGGCAGTGTAACGTTGTCTGTAGCAAACCCGAGCCGCCACAATGGGGATCACGGATAAAATCGCGGAAATAGAGCGAGAAATCGCCCGGACACAGAAAAACAAAGGTGAGAGAGAGGACAGTCGCTACGTGTTAGCTAAAGCTAAACCAAGGGGCGAACTTGTGGCCATCTCTCATGGCTCATTGTCTGTGTGTCAGCTGTCAGTGTTGTGTTACTCGATAATCTCACAGATATCCAAGGCGATGCGTGCTAATTGACACCGTGAGCTTGATTACGGCAACCACACAGCTAAAGGAGGAATCCCCCAAAACACGTAACGCAAAATTAACAGCTGATACGTTCAAATGAATCGAAGCAAACTTAACTGTGGTGGCTGCGCTGGTTTTATAGTTTAATGGCGACCTTTCTTCACCGCTTAAATGCATTTGTTCAGTGTCAGAATTCTGCTTTTGAAGCATTCTGTGTCACAATGTTTTTCTTTTGTCAAAATCTCCAGCCACTGAGTACCATCTGGGTCTGCTGAAGGCCAAATTAGCCAAATACAGAGCTCAGCTCCTGGAGCCCTCCAAGTCAGCGGGGGCCAAAGGCGAGGGCTTCGATGTCATGAAATCGGGAGATGCCCGTGTCGCTCTTATCGGTTTTCCCTCTGTGGGTAAGGTACGTCATGTTTCCTTCAAACCTGCAGCAATGTATCTCAAAGGCAAACAGAGAGAAATGGGCATAGCATCCCTCCACCGGTGAAAAGCCCCAGAAAGAGAAGTGAAACATGATCCAAAGATTCCACACGTTCAGCTGTAATTGAATCCTCTGTGGTGTCCTGCAGTCCACCTTCCTTAGTTTGATGACGTCTACCGCCAGTGAAGCCGCTTCCTATGAGTTCACCACTCTCACCTGCATACCTGGCGTCATAGAGGTAAAACACAATCACAGCCGCTGCATGCGGTAAACATTGTTTGAACATAAAAAATGGGGCCATTTACCAGGGGTGCAAACTTGTCACCTTTTGTTTCAAAATAGGTCATTTGTGTGATTCATGTAGATCTGCAATAAAAATATTTTTTGCGGGGGGGGGGTCCGGTCCGGTCCTCCAAGTAATCTGCGAACGCAAGCTGCCATGAATATTTTTTTCAAGCTTGTTCGTTTGGCCAACTCGTGTCATCTTCGGGTCTATAGCTGCCTAGATGCCGTAATAGACAGGAGTGACGTTGGTACGCTGCAAGAACGTCAGTCTTTCTAACGTAGGCTAACGTGCTAATGTCAGACAGACGCCGCACAAATCACATCAACCATTTTTGCTGGTTACAATAACGGTGTTATCGGATAGTACAGTACAAAATTCTAATAAACCGAAGTAAAAAAAAAAAAAAAGAAAAGAACTGGCTTCATTTGTCATTTCCCCTTCCCTTGTTCGGAAAAGGATCAAAGACAAGTTAAAGGGGTTGTGAAAGTTGATAACCATTCGAGCTAAATAGCCGCAGCTTATTTGTGTTTTACTGGAATAACATTGAAGCATATGCAAAACATTTTTTATATATATAAATTCCCCGAGGGGGTTCGGATCTTTGTCACCTTTTTCATTCCTGATGAGTTTGCACCCCTGATTTACACTGTTATGTGTCGCTCTTCAGTACAAAGGGGCCAACATCCAACTGCTGGATCTGCCTGGAATCATCGAGGGTGCTGCCCAAGGTACACATGGATGTTTTTTTGTGTTTACTTGACCTCAAAGTGTGCAGATACTGTAGTAGTTGTGTTGTATGGTGTTTGGTCAGAATTATGAATGGATAATAATGTTTCAGTTTATTCTTTAGGTGAGTGAAAAGGCTCCATAGTGATTGTAATACTCTGACTCTCTGTTCATAGGCAAGGGTAGAGGTCGGCAGGTTATTGCCGTTGCCAGGACAGCAGACGTCGTCATCATGATGTTGGATGCCACGAAAGGAGAAGTGCAGAGGTGTGTGCGTGTGTGTGTGTGTGTGTGTGTGTGTGATGGGTGAGCCGATGGGTCGGAGAGAACTTCAGAAGATGATGAGTCATCAACTAATTCATCCCCTTTTTTTCATCTTTCCAGAGAACTTCTAGAAAAGGAGTTGGAGTCGGTGGGAATCAGACTCAACAGGTCGAAACCAAATATATATTTCAAGGTAGATATTCCATCATCATCCTCCTGAACGGACCGTCGCTTCATTCAAAGAGACTCGCTCTCAAAAATGTGCATTTAGAAAAAGAAGACGACAGTTGCAATACAGAGGAATTGATGACCATCCGCTTTGTGACCTAAAAGTTACCTTGCAAAAAAATTGTCAGCATCTTTAATCAATACTTAATATCGGATACTAAACTGTGTAAATATGTGTGATTCGTTGCTCTCTTTAGCCCAAGAAAGGTGGCGGCCTCTCCTACAACTCCACGGTTCCTCTCACCCAGTGCTCAGAGAAACTCGTTCAGCTCATCCTTCACGAATACAGTATCCTTCACGTCTCGAGCATCAGGAGAGGCAGCTCACAGAGAAGAAGGAAGCCTCGGTAGATTTTGCTTGTTTCTTTAACGCCTTGTCCTCAGAAATCTTCAATGCAGAAGTCCTCTTCAGGGAGGACAGCACACCGGACGAGTTCATTGACGTCATCGTGGGGAACAGAGTGTACATGCCTTGCCTATATGTAAGTCAGTACCCACCATCTAGGTTGGGTCAAAGCCTCATACCTCAAAATCGTTTAATGTTGTAAACCCAAATTCTAGTCCTGAGATGTTTTTCTGAACGTTTATAACTCTGTAGGAAGCATTTTGTTGTGCAAAAACAGGACAAATGTAATTGGAGTCACGAGCTTTAGAAAAATCTGCTTTGTTTTTAGCCTGTGTACATTGTTTTGGGGTCTCTTTTTTTGGCTCATATCTGTTGTATTCACAGGTGTACAATAAGGTCGATCAGATCTCCATCGAGGAGGTGAACCGCCTGGCTCACAGAGAGAACAGTGTTGTCATCAGGTCAGATATATCAAAATGAGTGTGTGGGCATATTTGTATACTTTGCTCAACCCTGTGATCTTACTCTTTTTGTATGTAAACATCTATGTATTTGTCTGGGAGTTTAAAAGCTTTCTCTGTTTCCGTCCTTGTGTGTATTTCAGCTGTGGGATGAAGTTGAACCTGGATTACCTTCTAGAGACGTTGTGGGAATATCTCTCTCTGATTTGCATTTACACTAAGAAAAGAGGAGGTACAAGCACATTTCCTCTTATTCACCGGTCGGACTGTCACAGTCACACGAACGCCGAAAATGTGACGTTTGTGTTCCTTTGTTTCTTTTTCCATTAGAGCGCCCAGACTTTAATGATGCCATCATTATGAGAAGAGCCTCATCTGTAGAACACGTGGTACGTAATTCACGCATGTAGTCGAGGTGAAATGCTCCATTTGTGCACAAATGATAAGAGTGAGGGAAGGCAGATTGATGTCTTTGAAAATGTGTTGCCTTGTTTTCTCCCTCAGTGTCATCGAATCCACAGAACCTTAGCCAGCCAGTTCAAATACGCCCTGGTTTGGGTAAGTTCAAGTTTTCAGAAGCAGTGACCTTCAGAAACGTTACTCTCTTATCTCGTAAACTGAACAATCTCTCATGTTGACCCAGTAAAGTAAAAGAAATAAGAGGTTTCATAGTGACTGCTATACTTATTAATGGAGGACTAGTCCTGAGCTCACAATGTGATTTTGATGAAAATAATTGAACGTATCAAGTTGTATTAAGCAGTGGGTCGTGCACCAGCGACGGTTCTCGCTCAGTTGCCTCTCTGAATCAGAATGCCCCTTAAAGGGTACAGCTGTGTTTACTGTATCGTGACACATGAGGAGACGAGTGAGGCGGAGGATCCGTTGTTCACTGCGAAGCGATTCATTGTACTAGAAACCCGAACAAAAGAAAAGGTGCCTGATGTGATTCGTCTGTTGGTCTTCCAGGGAACTAGCACCAAGTACAGCCCGCAGAGGGTCGGCCTGACGCACATCATGGAGCACGAGGACGTCATCCAGATCGTTAAGAAGTAAAAAAGCAGCAGCAGCCGACGGGACGGAGGAGGAACTGAGCAGGAAGAGTCACACTTTAGTTGGGGGGAGTTAACATGGAAGAAAAGACCCACTGTACAGTGAATATACTGCTAGAATAAACAGCTGCCATTCTTTTTTTGTATATTAAAATAAGCAAAATGTATTGGAGACTGAGCAGATTTCAGGTGGCTTTGAACAGGAAACGGTTTATTTTACTTTTTGATTATAACAACAAAGAAAAAATGGGAAATAATAAAATCCATAAAATGATGATTCCTTGTGTTTGATTAATGATGTTGATGTGTTTTACTCTAATTAGATAGTGGTATATTTAACCACATCTCACCTGAATTAGCTAACGTTACATTCATTAATTTTCACAGGTAAATATTACACCTCTTAATATCTTCACATTTTTTCCTGTCAGGGCGAAATGAGGAGAGATTTACGTTAGCGAGTTTAGCATTGATTTGTTTGTGTCAGACTCTGTTGGAGAATGTGAGTCCGATGTCTAGTCTTCTGTTAAGAGGGGAAAATATTCCAGTCTCCGACTGATGTTACTCGATGTTCAGCTAACGCGAGCTAATTGCTAACGTTGATAACGGCCAAGGCGGTGGTCGGCAGTTT